GATAGGAGGAAAAACACCATTGGAAGTATAGTCTGGAAAACCTGCTACTGATTATGGTTCCTTATATGTATTTGGATCCACTGCTTATTATCATGTGAAGGAATCCAAGCTTGATCCGAGAGTAAAGAAGGCTCTCTTTATGGGAATCACCCATGGAGTGAAGGGATTCCGCCTTTGGTGTTTAGACACCAAGAAGATAATTTGTAGCAGAGATGTTACCTTTGATGAATCTACCCTAGTAAAGAAGGTAACAAGTGAAGCTGTCCAGACAAGTAGTACTCCGCAGTAGGTGGAGCATACTCCAAAACAGGTGGAGTTTCACCAAACGATGATCCCAGAAGTTGATGCAGCTGATTCTTCAACTCCAATAGAAAAATCAGAAGATGAAGAGGTTCAAACCCAAGAACCATTGGAGACACCAGAACCACTTGCAGTTACAAGGCCAAGGAGAGAAATTCGTAGACATGCTCGATTTGTTGATATGGTGGCCTATGCTCTTCTAGTTGTTGATGATGATATCCCTATCACTTACCAAGAAGCAATACAAAGCTTGGAAAGTTATAAGTGGAAAAGTGCCATGGATGAAGAAATGCAATCTCTCCAATAGAACAACACTTGGAAACTGACACAATTACCGAAAGGTAAACGAGCCATTAGATGCAAGTGGGTATTTGTAAAGAAAGATGGATCTCATAGCAAGAAAAATGTTCGCTACAAGGCACGGTTGGTAGCTAAAGGCTACGCTCAAAAGGAGGGAATTGACTACAATGAAGTATTTTCCCCTGTTGTGAATCATTCCTCTATTAGAATATTGTTGGCCTTGGTAGCATAGTTGAATTTGTCGCTAGCTCAACTTGATGTAAAGACGACTTTCTTGCACGGTGATTTAGAAGAGGAGATCTATATGACTCAGCTAGAAGGATACAAAGATGGTGGTTGTGAATAATGGGTTTGTAAGCTGAACAAATCGCTATATGGATTGAAGCAATCTCTGAGGCAGTGGTACAAGCGATTTGATAGCTTTATGAGGAGGCAAAAGTATATTAGAAGCAAATATGATCATTGCGTGTATTTGCAAAAGCTCAAAGATGGATCTTCCATTTATCTTCTCTTATACGTTGACGATATGTTGATCGCTTTGAAGAGTCAAAAGGAGATAGACAAATTAAAGGCTCAGTTGAATCAAGAGTTTAAGATGAAAGATCTAGGTGAGGCCAAGAAGATTCTTGGTATGGAGATAAACAAAGATAGATAGAGAGGGAAGCTTTGTTTAACACAGAAGCAGTATCTGAGAAAGGTATTACAATGTTTTGGCATGAATGAAAATACCAAACATGTAAGTATCCCATTAGCTTCTCATTTGAAACTTAGTTCTCAATTATCTCCTAAAACTAACGAAGAACGAGTGTATATGGCAAAAGTTTCATATGATAATGCAGTTGGGAGCTTGATGTATGCAATGGTGTGTACGCGTCCTGATATTTCACAAGCAGTTGGAGTTGTGAGCAGATACATGCATGATCCTGGAGAAGGACATTGGCAAGCTGTGAAATGGATTCTACGGTATCTCCAACAAACCATGGATGTTGGTTTAGTTTTTGAACAGGATAAAGCACTTGGTCAGTGTGTGGTTGGATATGTTGATTTCGATTATGCTGGTGATTTGGATAAACGTCGATCAACTACTGGGTATTTGTTTACTCTTGCTAAAGCCCCAGTAAGTTAGAAGTCTACATTGCAATCTACGGTGGCCTTGTCTACTACAGAGGCATAATATATGGCAGTTTCAGAGGCTGTAAATGAAGCAATTTGGCTTAACGGGTTGATGGAAGACTTGGGAGTTGTTAAAAGTCACATTAGTCTCTATTATGAAAGTCAGAGCGCTATTCACTTAGCGAAAAATCAAGTCTACCATTCAAGGACTAAGCATATCGACTTGAGGTATCACTTTGTGCGGGAGATCTTTGAATAATGAAAGATTCTACTTCAGAAAATTACGACATCAGAAAATCCTGCAGATATGATGACCAAGATGGTAACAGTAATCAGGTTCAATCATTGTTTGAACTTGATTAACATCCTGAAAGTATGAACACCTTCGGGTGTGAGGCGCTTGTGAGCGCAATTAGAGGCACTACAAATTTGGGGAGTTGAAGAAGTTGAGTAGGTTTGGTAATTTCAAGTCAAGGTGGAGATTTGTTAGATTTGTCTAGAAATTAAGTTGACAAGTTGGAAATTTCATCTTGGTTGGTGGCCAACTTATTGTAAATTTCATCTTGGTTGGTGGCCAAACTTTGAACATGTGAATTTCATATTTGGTGGCTAACTTGTACACATTGGAAAATTCTTTGGTAGGTGGCCAAACTTTGAACATATTGTTCTTAAAACTCAACTATAAATAGGCCTAAGTATTTCCATTAGAAATCATCCCAAAAACAAGTTCTCTCTTCCTCTTGTATTCTTCATTCTCCCACTTTGGGAATTCTAAAGAATTCCATTTTTTGTAATATTGGCGATATAGTGAAGTTATCATCCGGTGTGGTGCCCGAGGAGTAGACGATATTCTCGTCGAACCTCGTAAATTTGGTGTGTTCTCTCATTTATTATTTTTTATTCGGTTTTTCCATTGTGTTTCAATATCCAATAGTTTGACAGATTTATCCGCTGTGCAACCTTTGGTGGTTTTGATCTTGACATTTTAGGTCAATTTTGAAACTACGTTCGTGTGGGAAATAACCCGATTTCCCCAACACTTTTTGTCACTGTAATAGATATGATTTATCGTTTTCGTTCATATAGTTTTTTGCATTAATTTATCCTCTAAGTTATTTAGGGATATCATCCTAACCCTCGAAGTCCGTTAATCGTTTTAACTAATAGAATCATGAGTCTTCTGTGTATTTGTGGATTAAAGGATTATGTTAAAATATTTACAAACACGACGATTAGAAAAAAATTCCGAAATTTTATTATTTAGTTTAGTGAGATTAAGTAATTAGAAAACCGATAGCCCTTTACCGGTAAAAAATTACCTAAAACATTATTATTTATACATAAAATACTAATGTTTTTTAATATTTCCGATAAAGTGCTCAATAATAATAAAACCGGTAGCGCTTTATCGGTTTTGTTAATAAAATCGATAAAACACCCAATAATAACAAAATCGATAGAAATAATAATGTTTCCGGTAATTTTTTTTATCAATTTTAATATTTAAATAATAATAAATTGATAAGATCTTTTTTTAATCGTATATTAAAATGACCGAACGTAATAATTTCCCTCTTTTAAGACTTAAAAACATTCGTGAGTAAATATCCTATAGATTTTAAATCATTGTAATAATTAAAAACCTGTCTTATCAGAAAGTCACGTGGAGCGTTGATAGGTCCCGATTTTGCGACATATTAAATTTTGATGTCGAGGAATAAGAATCCAAATAAAACCCGGTCTAATTATGGTATTAGTCCCTTTACTATGCTAAAATCATAGATTTTAATTCCATTATTCAATTTCACATAGATTTGTCCCTTAATCCCCTTCTTTAAGAATGTTATTAGTATATTTGAATTGATGATACTGTTACCTGCCTACCGTTAAAATGATAACAATGAAATCATTTTTAGTAGTTTTAAGCGTTGGGATTATATGAATTTATTATTACTTATACATAGATTAGCCCCCTTAAAATGGATAATTTTTTTATTAGTCCATCAATTTTTAGTTTGATGAAATTCAATTTTTTTTCATATTAACTTTGTTTTTTTTGTAGATTTTGTATTTTTATTTTTAAAAATAACTCTATTTTATGGCTTTTAAACATTATTTAGAAAGTTTTAAAATCTATTCATAAATTTTTTTAAAAAAATTAAGTTTTCAAGTAAATAAAAATAATTAATAATTTAGGCTTAAGGGTCATCTTTACCCTTGTAGTAGATCCAATTTATCATTTTTGTCTATATCGTATTTTCACATTAATTTAGCCCTCAAAGTTGTTTAATTGTATTATTATATATATTACCCCTAATTTAAAATCCTAAGATAGAGTTTATGGTTTAGAGGTTATAGAGTTATTATTTAGGTTTAAGATTTATAAATTAGTGTTTAATTTAGGGGTAGAGTATAGAATGATGCAATTGAACAACTTCGAAGGTTAAATTTATATGAGAATACGATTGGGGCAAAAATGATATATTGGGCCTAATACAGGGGCAAAAGTTACCTTTTTACCAATAATTTTTATATATAGTATTTATCTTTTGTTGCTCACTCTTTCTTAAAGATGCCCTTAAAATGGTTTTAAAATTTTAGATATCGATAATATAAATATTACATTTTGTTGCCTCAAATGATAGAAATTCAATTTGGTATACTCTAAAAGTATAAAATTAATTTAATATGATGATAATTTTTGTTTTTTATATTTTCAACCCCTCCGAAAACAATCATGACTTTAACTCTAATTGTGTGATCAAATAACAGTAAAACCATGTTTAAAATTTAACGTTAAATTTTGAAAAAAAAATTAAAAGTTTAGGTATTAAAACGGATTAAAACTGATAGTTTAAGTGCTAAACATGTTAAATTTTTAACGATAATGTACTAAAATAAAATAAAAACTAAATGTTAGGTATGATTTAGAAAAATAAAAGTTTAAGTATTAAAACGTGTCAAAACTAATAATTTAGGTAATGCATGCGTAGTTTACCTTAAATCGAATTCTGAAATAGTAAAATGATCAAAATCAGAATTAGGCCTAAAATACGGTACCGAAAAGGAAAAGTGGGGATGAAAAGGAGGAGTCAAAGGTCAACAATATCAAGGGCAGCTGATGAAACGGAGATATCAACGGTGGATTCTGTTACACATAGACACCACCTGGGAAAGAAAAAGGACGAGTCAATTGAAGTCAGAGAAAGACAATTATACCCCTTTCTCTCTCTTTAAAGCAACCCCTTTCTTTGCCTTTCTCTCTCCAAATCTAATTCCGATGCCGTTTTATTTCATAACTATCATTAAAACGACACCTGCGTTTCTCTTCTCTTGCTCTTTTGAGAGGCATGGCTGAGACTGAAAGCGAAGCGCAGCCGATGGAACGACACGAGGAAAAGCGAAACGACGACTCGGTAGGAGGAGCGGACGAGTTGGATGATGACGAAGAAGAGGAAAAGGAAGGAGTGAGTCGAGTTAACGAGTCGGACGAGGCGGGAGCGGCGCCGTCGTGTGACGCCGAGTTAAAAGACTCGCGGCTGGAAAACCTAACGAATGATGATCGTCGTGAGGGTAAGGTTTTTTTTAAGTGAAGAATTCCGTTCATTTCCCCTTGTTTATTTAATGAAAATTTCGCTGTGCGGTGATCTCTCAGGGTTGCGGGAGAATTCTACTTCGGAACCAAAGGAAGTTGTTGAATCTAAGGTCAGGAATTCACTCTTTAACTACTGTATTCATTTCTAGTCGTTTCCGTTTCTTATTTTATTTTTGAAAAATTACGATTATGATTTTTTTTGGTTCTTACTTTCGATCTGTTTGTTTGAACTCTACACTTCTTTTTTATGTTTGTCTATGACTAGAAGCTTAAGTTAGAGTTTGTCTATGGATGGTGTAGAGATCGATGACTTTGTTGCCATAAACGTTTTTCCTTATATTCTATCTTTGCCTTGAAATATTAAAAATATTATTAAATAAAGTACTTTGCAGCAGTGTTTCTCTGCTTCAGTAAATATTAAATTTATTTTTCATATGTTATTGATTGCAGTGTTGCACTGAATAGCCAACAAGGTCTTGTGGGAAATGAACTAGTTAAGGTCCTTGGAATTTGCAAGATTAAACATCTCACCTCTCTATATGGATATATGCATTCACATGAACCCACCAGCACCTTTGGGTTCATTAAAGTTGAATTATAGGATATATGAATGTGGTTGTTTCTCACAGCAAGTGTGCTCTTTTATTTTAATCGAAGTTTTCGTTTTTAGAAGCCAATTAAGACCTAATATATTAAGGATATTTATCTTTTTTTCTTCTTGGTTGCAAATTTGTGTTATTGTGCATGGAATCAATTATCGAATCTATTTTTGATATATAAGTGAATGCTATGTTAAATGGATGGCTAAAGGATGCGAATATAGTTTATCCAAACACATTCAATCAGCCTTGTCAAAGCTTTTCCAGTTATATCTTCTAATTTTGTTTGACTTTAATCTTTTTGGTGATGATATATATTGTCCTTTTGAGTTAGAACATTGAGTGAGTTATTCTAAACCATCATAATGATGTGGAAGATCCATGTCGTTGGACCTTGACATCTTATGTACAATTAACTCTTTCTGTGATTGAATTGTTCTTTCATTGAGTTCTTTTTTTTCTTCTTTAGGATCAAGTTAAGATAGCCCACCAGGAAATGCCTAATTTTGCTTTCCAGGATGCAGAATCTCCAAAACAAAATCCGGTCCATGAATCTGTTTTGCCAGAACCATCACCAAGTTCTCCGAAACAAAATCTGGTCAATGAATCTGTTTTGCCAGAACTGTCACCAACTTCTCCGAAACAAAATCTTCTCCAATTATCTGTTTTGCCAGAACCGTCACCAACATCTCCGAAACAAAGTCATTCAGATCAGAAGGTTAATAGCTCATCCCTTGCAGAAGCAAACCAACAAAGCCCTTCTAATCTTAAAGTGGTACCCTTTGTTCCCTATGTGAAGACACCAGTGTCTGATGGTTACAATTGGCGGAAATATGGTCAAAAGCAAGTGAAGAGTCCTAAAGGTTCTCGAAGCTATTACAAATGCACATTCTCCAATTGTCAGGTTAAAAAGATAGAATGCTCTGATCACACAGGCCATATAATAGAGATTGTTAATAAAGGCATACATAGTCATGAACCTCCACGGAAGATTAACTTTACAAGGGAAAGTAAGGTTTTATCATCTGCTGTTCCTGTTTCAATTAATCCTGTCACAGCTGCTGTTCCTGTTTCAATGAATCTTATAACAGAACAGCCTGTCAGAGTGCCTAATGATTCTGATCCTTCTACATCTTCTAAAGAATCTTTACCAGAAACAACTGTAAATCCTGAAAGAAAACAACAGTGTTCTAGTGGCTCTGACGGGAATGGTGGCACGCAAATGAAGGAAGAGCTTTTGAGTGAAGCTGAGCCAAATAAAAGGCAAGCTTTTCCATGAATTTCTCTTTGCCTTTCCCTCCTTCATGACATGTCTTGTGTGTATTATTAATGGAAAATCCTCTATGCTTACCTGGTTTTGATAGTTTCTCATTTTCTTATCCAGGAGGAAGAAAGGTGATGCAGTTTGTTCTGGTTCTGTTGTGAAAACTGGGAAAAAACCTAAATTTGTCGTGCATGCAGCAGGTGATGTAGGAATCTATGGCGATGGATACAAATGGCGAAAATACGGACAGAAAATGGTGAAAGGAAATTCTAATCCCAGGTGCTTGTTCTCTTCTCAGTATCATTTTAATGAAGGTTTTATTGTTTTTTTACCTTTAAACCATTGCTAAATGTGGCTGCTCAGGCATATTGTGGCTACTCTGTCGACTTGTACTTATCATTGTTATACTATGTAATGGTGATTACTTTTTTTACATGTCTGTTGTATGGGATCCACAAGGTTTACTATATTATCTCTACCATTCATTTGCACCATGGATCCAGTGGTCTGTCCTTGCTTTTGGTCTCTGTAATACTTAGTGCTTTGCAAAGCCATGTAGGTTCATTTTTTTTGTCAATGTTGTGCTATATTTGTCTAAACATCTCTCCCGAACCGTTATGCTGCTTCCTCTGAGGCTGATGTTCAAGAGTTTGCTTTATATGAGTTTGTTTTCTTTCAAGGATGGCCAATTTGGTAGCTTACAAGCTCAATCTTTAACCAAGCTGTTAGTTCCTTGAATTCGTATACATTCGATTGGGTTTATTCTTATCTTTCAGTTGATAACGTTTTCTAGGAACTACTATAGATGCACTTCTGCCGGGTGTCCTGTCCGTAAGCATATCGAGACAGCTGTAGATAATACAAACGTCGTCGTTATAACATATAAAGGCGTTCACGACCATGACATGCCTGTGCCAAAGAAGCGACATGGCCCTTCAAGTGCTCCTCTTGTTGCTGCTGCTGCTCCTGCTTCTGTGAACAACTTGCAACTTACAGTAGCCGATGAAGTGCAAAAGCAAGCTACATCAACCAAGTGGTCAGTGGGTACAGGAGGTGAACTGACAGGTGAGGCTGTAGAACTTGGTGGTGAGAAGGCGATGGAATCGGCTAGAACGCTTCTGAGTATCGGATTCGAAATCAAACCATGCTGAACTTAAAGGTAACTTTTCTGGCGTCAACATCAGGCATGTCTTTATATAAAATTATTTGAAACGGCCATTGGTCAGGTTTGATTTGTCCTACTACTTTATTGCTATAGTTTCTGGTGAGGCTGTATATTTTCTGTTGTATTCTCTCTCAATCTGTTTGGAACAAGGTTATAATAGTGGAAACAACATAGATTTGGTTGGCAACCCAATTCTCGTTAACTTACTAGGAACCATGTTCCAATCTTCTCTCTTTGTTTTATGCGACATGCACCGGACCGTAAGGGCAAGTTCGGTTCATATAAAAGATCATTATCAGAGGTAATAATCTTTTCCGAAATCTTGGTCTCATATTTAGTTTTCCTCTCATTTCTAGCAGAAGAAAGAATATTACCAACAATAACTTTTTTTAATGCAAAATGGTCATTGTCATAAATCATTGGCCTTTTGTTTTAACTGTTAAGAGGGGCTTCAATTAGGGTAGAAAAGCATCTATCGGTTGCATTACCAAATCTAAGTCAAAGCTTTACAGCTTGGAAATTTTGGTCTTTTTTTCAAACAAAGCATCCATCTAGACATTAAAATGGATGTCCCTTGTTCCCATATGTAATGGGATAAGGGGAGGTAAGATAGTAGGTTGCCCTCAAACACCAGGTTGAGAGCAACTTCCGTAGAAGACCTCCGAATTATGAAATTATGAAATGTCATCATTGTAAAAGAAGGAACATTGGGGTTCTCTCAAAACAAACATGTCTTATAAAAGATAAAAGAGTTCCCCCCCTTGTCCCTTAGGATAGGATTGGGTTAGGGTCAGATTTTTGATCCATCATCATTCTATGTCACTCGATTCAACTCAAATTTAAAGAGATTCTACCCAATCTAATATATAGGGTAAAACTTTACACCAAACACGATATATATATATAATTCTTAATTTTATTAGATAAAATAAGGGTTTACTTTAAAAAAATATACAGATAGATTTGACATTTTCATCATAAATTTGAATCCGACCGACATGAACCTAAATTAAAAAAAAACAATTGTTTATCTAAAGTCAGATCAAAATCCATCGAATTCGGGTCAACTTAAATTTCCAAAACAAACAATTGATTATATAGTCATGTCAGAATCCATAGAATTTGGCTCAAGTGCGACTCTAAAAAAATATTGCCCCTAAATCATTTACTCACAGGTATCAATGACTGCACACATTCATGATTTCACCAGTTATATTTTAATTTACTCTTTAGGAATCTACAATATAGATAAATCCATAAATGCACGAGTATTCATTGAAATTTTTATACACAAAAAAACCATCTTTCATTACTAACCAAAGAGTGAAGAGTAGTGTTATCAGTCAACGTGGTAAAAACTGATGATTGAACCTGGACCGAACATCACTCCGAGGCGAAACTCAATCCGTCGAAAGCTATCGACAATTCCGATACGATCCCATTATCGACTTTTTTCTCTTCGGGCACATCTTTGATCCCGTTCTCTTCTTTTCCTTCTGCTGCAGTTATACACTCCTGGAACCTGAAACAACTCGCGAGATGGTCGTTTGTTATTCCGGCCACTTGCATGAACGAGTAGATTACAGTCTGCCCCACGCTCCGGAAACCCCTTCTTACTAGATCTTTGCTTATGACATCTGCTTTCGGAGTTTTAACCGGAACCTGGCGAGGATACCTGAATCTGTTAACGATAGGCTTGTGGTTCACGAAACTCCAAATATACTCGTTGAACGACCCGAACTCATTTATAACCTGGCATCATCAAAACCTGCAAAAAGTTAGTTTCAATCATAATCAAAGTCACCATGGAGGGTCCAAATAATGTGCCTGGAGGGTTTAGGACCACTTCAGCTACATCTCACCAAACCTACTAAAATAAAATGATCACTTAGAACCTTTTATATTTGTCTAATCACTTGCTAAAACAATAGGGAACAATATAAGTGGTCCCTGATTGGGTATAGCCATCAATTCAATGAATCCTATATCGGGACTATCGGTTTAAGACGAGCCCCGAAGTCGAGTAGACGACTGGAAGTGTGCTATTATCTTGCAAGGTAAACTAAAAATTCATATCTTCCACTATGTAAAACAACTTCAGTAGAGCAAACTTTTGTCATATTCCATGTTATTCGTTATGTGGTTCGAAGGCAAGGTCGAAAAATGGTGAAAAGTATAATGAGATTCTTACCATAGACATTTGGCGTGCATTCTCGACGATAGCCCGCAGCTTTAGTTCTGATAACAACGAACTCGCCAAGCTACCAGGTGCTACTAGCTTCTTCTCATTTAGCTTTGACACGGCAACAGGATCGAACTCCATAAAAACTTCTCTGCATAAAAGATACATCTCAGAAGTCCACATATTCGACGGAAGTAAGATGGAGATTCTGCAGGAACAATACCTAAATATATGTCTTTTGCTTAGGATAGCAGGCCAAGTAAGTTCGGACAATGCACCCGAAAGTACTAGCAGCTCAAACAATTTCCTGCATGTGGAAAACAATATCAGCCAGTCGTCGAGTGAAATTTAATTTTGCCAGAGAGCTAGTTATTTTAATCAGTAACCAGATATAGTCAATATCGAGATAACATACTTGTCGTCGTGTACAGGAACTCCCCACTCTTCATCGTGCAAGGCAGCATAACTCGGATCTGATCCCAAAACCAAAACCAAGTCAGCAGAAAGCATGACGGAATGCCTTCCTCCGGTAAATGTCATAAAACAACCCTTCAAACAATATCGATGACTTGAAGGTGTAACTCAAACAAATTGAGATAGGCTGATATACAGTCTTTCAATTCAAATATAATGCCTGGACCTCTGAATGTGTAACTAATTTGCATTCATGCCATACATGTACTTTCTCATAAAAGTGCAGAGCTTACAAATATCAAGTATGCATTTAACTTATTGGTCGATTCAAATCGTAAAAACCGATAAAATTAATACTTAGAGCAAGCTTATGAGGCTGATAATACAGTTGAAAGCAGCATAGGAAGAAAATGTTCACATGGATTCATAATTGAATCATGTTAAGTCACACACACCTGTATTTGGTGTCACCCAAGCACATCTCTTCTTTTGATGTGAATAACCGGGCGGTGAATCCAAACCACCGTCGGAAGCAACACTTCTAGGCTTCGATGCGTACGTCTTCCTCCTACTTCCTACACTATATGACCGGATTAACCTGCCAGTGGATTCTCTACTATGAAATGAATCCGTGGAAGCATCCGATGAACACGAAGCATTTAGTGACAAATTAGAATGTAATAACTGTTCATGCCGACGAAGCATGGAAGAAACGCTAGCGGAATGCGTCTTTGGAGAAAGTGGACTAATAGTAGATGATGGAAGGGCTTTTTTCTCGACCTCAACCGGAGTCTTTTCAACCTTTCTCAAAGGCTTTGAAACTGGTTTTCTTGCACTCAGTGAACCTGCCTTGTTCCCTGCAGGTACCAGTACGGGCCTTGACTCGGAATCCGCCACACTCATCGACCTCAATCTCGGACCACCGGACATAGACGAAGATATCCCTCAAATTTTTCTACCTGAAAGCAGTCCCGCTTTACCAGCGCCTTGTTTAGTCCGGTCCCTCAACTTTTGCCTATCCAATCCACCAAATCATCAAATTCCTCATAAACAAAAACCCTAAACCAATTAGAAAAACCCTTCTAACACCAACAATTTGATCACATTCAAACAGTGTCTCCAAAAACACCCAAATCTTACTTAAATTTACAACTCTACCACTCTAAGCTTCACTCAAAATCCTAAAAACCCTCATTTTTCATCCAAAAACTCCCTTGAAGAAAAAGAATCCCTTTAAACCCCAATCTCCCTTGTCCTCAAAGTCATCGAAATGAGCTAAAAAAACCCTAAAAATCAATACCCAAACCAAAGTTAATCAAAGATGAGACCACCCTTTAAGAAGAAGAAGCTAAAGGTTCAAGCTTTACAGTTCAGATAGAACAAAAAAGGGGAAAAATGGGATCAAATTGTGTATTCATTTAAATCAATTCAAATTTAGCTTCGAAAAACAGAGATCCATTCTGCATTGTGGAAAACCAGAGAGATGGAAAAAAGAGTTATCATTACCTCAAAAGAAAAAAGCTGACTCGTTTTCTGGCAATTCCATGCTTTCTTTTCTTTCTTTTTTTCTCGAGAAAGTGAGGGAGAAAACTCGACGAGACTTGAAGACAAAGCAAACAAAAGGGGTTCGATCTATGAGAATTGAATTTCACTCCCCTACATTACTGTATCTATCATTTAGAAAGAGAAGCAAAGAACCAATAACGGGAAGAGAGAGAATTGAAGATTAAGCTTTTGTTTATCTATTTACGAAAAGGTCAAATAGTAACTTACGTTTTAGTAAGTTTATTTTTTCCTACTACGTTATATCCCGAAGGTCGTCTCCTCAATTCCTGGATCAACTGGTATCTCATGCTGATTTGTATCCGGGACAAACTCGTTACCAATGTCGGCTGCTAGTGAGACATGACTCTCGTCTCTACCGTCTTAATTATATGCTGTGTAGTCTGTCATGTTTTTTTTAATTAGAAAGAAATGAAAGTTATTATTGTTATTTCAGTCTTTAAAATACTCTACACTCTCTAGTGACATGTACATACATAGACACTGATTGACCCTAGTCCATGGGTTCTAAAAACGACTAAATCTGACGCTCTAATACCACTAAATGTAACACCTTAACCTAGTCTCACTCGAAGATCGAATGATTAAAGTATCACACGGGACCATCGAATTGGTTAACCCAATATTTTTAAAAATAATTTAAGTTTTCAAAATATGGGGAACTCTCAATACGTCAAAATAAAAAATACTGAGTTCATGTCAAATATCGGTACGACTGAAATACTAAGAGTTTGTAAGTAGCACATGCCCTCTAATACAGACATACTCTGTTAATCTCGGTTGATCTGGAAAATCTGGTGACGATAACGCTCCACGGACGATCTCCTAAGAACATGTGCATGAAAATACATTCTGAACGTTGAGCTTACGAGCTCAGTGTCACGCTAATAATTGTATTATACTACATTCATTCACTAAATGAGCATGCTAGTGACATAGGTATGAAGACGTAAGATTCCTTTTATGAAATGTTGAGGATGCATCATGGTGTGGTTGAGAGTTAAGCATCTCGAAGCACATACCCCTTTAGCCTACTTGGGATACCCTCGATTATTTGGGGTAAGATTCGGAATGACATAAAAAACGTGCACCCGATCAACTTACTTTGTTGAGTCTTGGGGCATCTACGCCTAGTCGACAAAAAAAGTATCTTGGAACTTGCTCGGATATATCCAACTAAAACGATTGTATCCTGCTAAGGGAACTTGGGTGTTTTGGTTATTTCCTGAGCATCAAACAAAGTTAGTTTTATGTCGTCCTATTATTGTTTTTGGTTGTATTGTGCTTTAATTACTCTCACTTGTAGTTTTATTTCATGAAAATTTGAAATTATTGGGCCCTTCAAACCTAACCCCTTAACCCCATGGATTTCTTATCCAAAACTACTAGTGGGTACTGATACTAAGCCCTTCAATATTAGTACTATCTTTTGGGTATCGATACTAACCAACAAATATAAACTGAAAAGGAAGGGTAGTATCGTACTTTTGAATCAAGTATCAATACTTCTGAACCGATTTTTGTCTCCAATTTAAAAATTAAAGGAGAATGGTCCCTAACGTTATTGATCTGTTCGATTTTAGTACCTAATATTATCGATCTGTTCAATTTTAATCCTTCAGTTGTTAACTCTTATTCGATTTTAGTCTCTCAATCATGTTAGAGACTCAAACAGAAGGGATTACCAAAAATTAATGACTGAATGATTAAAATCAAACGGATCAGTAACGTAAGAGATCATTTTTCTTTAATTTTTAAATTGGTAACCAAAGTCGATCATATCCTAAACATAGAGGGTTATTCGCATAGTTTGCCCTATAAATAATTAATAGAACAAAATAGTGAAAAGTAAATAAAACTCTTTTTTAACCTAAACCCAGCCTAGTCCTTAACTTTTAATGCTTCTTTTAACCTTTCTTCTGCCGTAAACAGTGAAATAAGGCAATTCAGAAGGTTTTTCAAGAGCTAGATGAAGTCAAAGTTGAGAGAAAGTACCGTCCAAGACTTGCTCATCAGTAAGTAACTGAGATTCTAATCTTGTCTGTAGTGAAGAAATCTCACTAAGCAACATAGATTTTGTCTGCTCCTGTTCATTCTTTATCACCTTGGACTAGTTTCGAAGCTTGTCACGGGCTTCTTCTAGGTGTTTGAACTGTTCCTTCTTCCATTCCAGCTGATCTTCAACTTTCCTCCTGCTTTCCCCTACCTTGGCCAACAAATCATCTCTTTCTCTCAGCTCGTCCAGGTTTTGCCTTTTTCTCTGTGAAACTGACAAGTGAGCTTTTAGACCTGCAATCTGTTTCGCCTCCGATTTCCTAAAACCTATGTTTCGAGCAAGCAACGAGGTGTCATGAAGAGCCCACAACTTGGCATTCAAGATGAAGGGCAACAATACAATTGCAAATGCGTTCAGGTAAAATTGCTCTTCAGTAAAACAAAATCAAAATGACATTGAATGTTGATTTTCGTTTCAATTATATCGTTAGACCGTTAAATCATTAACAACCAGAGCCGTTAACCATAATCATTGTGATGTTAATAATTTAACGATTCAGTGGCATAATTGAAACAAAAATTAAAGTTATAAGTGATACAACGTATAAAAGTTCAGTGGTATGATGTAGTTTACCCAAAAATAAACTATAACCGTCTTGAGTGATTGTGTTATATGAATTATGTTGCTGATACATTACACAGTTTAATAAACGAAAAGTTTTATTCATTAAACAAGAAGCGTTTGTAGTCCAACGGTTAGGATAATTGCCTTCCAAACGCATTGTTCTTAAAGAATTCTACCCTTTTCGGACAAGAAAGTTTCAGTTTTTGATTCACATGAAACATAGCAAACAAGGAAGCTTTTTTAAATACTCAAGGCTGTAACTTTCGCAACAAAAAGCTTACCCTACATCACACTGCTATAAAATCCTACTCCCTGCGCTCATACTTCCGTGCCCATATGTGTTTCCCGTTGACCCGGTACTTCGCTACGCGTCTCCCGTTCCATGCCTGATCGACGTTCGTGACGGACCGTAGAACCATCCTACCAAACAATGCCTGTTCACCGCTGTGGACGTTATCCCGCATGTGCACGTTTTCGACACAAACACCGCGTATCCTAGTGAAGACTTCCCTTATTTCGTCTTCCGAAACCAGGAAGCCCCGCGAGAAAGTCAGGAACAGGGTCCTTTCGTCCTCAGTGACGTTGTTGCAAGGATGCCATCCCCACAGGCCTCCTATAGGAAAGTCATGGTCCATGGCTCTAGGCACTATGGTGACGTTGCCGAATAACGGGTGAGGGAAACCGGGGATGACAAGAGGCTGATTGAGGACCACTTGTGGCGCGATCCCCATCATGTGTTGAAAGATATCGGTGAAAATCCAAGCGCAGACTGTGTTCATGAAACTCTTTATCCCGCTGATGGTACTGAATTTGTTCTGATACAACACATGCAGAGAAATATCTTTCTCCATGATCATTGCAGTAAGAGGCAAGTTGCCACTAGGTGGCATGGGGGGGATCAACCGATTCGAGACAGTCCAAACACGAAACGGCCTCACCGGCTAGTGCTTCCAACACAGGATCCGACACGTTTACGCATTTCGCGATAATGTTGGGGTAACATGTCTCTTCGGAGATCAATCCAAACGGTGGACCAACATAATCCAATTTCATGCTCATTAGACGTTGGACCATGGAGAACGGAGGATGAAGAAATTGAAGAGTTCATCATCGATCTAGGGAGATTGGGGTGTTTTCCGGTGAAACGGAGGTGTTGGAAAAAGGAGGTTGGAATCGCGTTCAGGGGTCGAAGAGGTACAAGCTGAAAAGTTTGGGCTTCATCGATTGACGGATGCGACGGTTAGTATCCGTAGACGCGGCGGTCGACGAGCCCGTCCATTAAATTTCTAACATGGATATCAAAATAATGAAAGTTTATATACTAAAACAGTCTAAAACTGATAATTTAGATAAAAACACATAATTTATCTGAAATTAAATATAACCTTAAAATAACAGTATCGATATCCGCGTGTGAAACGATTTTGTCGTCAAAAAAATATGCAAACTTAGAGTTAATGACATACATAAATCAACATGCGATGCATTTGCTTTGTATGTCCATCTCTTTAATTCCTACTTAAAGGAGAGATGTGCCTAAAGAATATGTCTATTTTAGGCTTAATTGGGGATGAATTTGAACTTTTAAAATTTCAAGGGATGAATTTGAACTTATAAAATTTTAGGGGATAAATTTGAACTTATAAAATTTTAGGGGGTGAAAACATATTTTCAATAGAATATGCATAGAAAAAATCTAAATTCTATGGTAATTTTAAATTTTAAGAGGGACGATTCCCCCCATCCGCCCCCTCCTTCCATCCTTGATTCTAGATTTACTAGGAGTACTCTTATTCCTTAGTTTCCCCTTCCTTCCGGGTATAATTAGGATTAGATTTAAAATTTATAGAAAAAATATTTTACTAAAATTACATTTTTTTCATCATATTTGATTAACTATGATTAGTGTATATTTTATTTAGTTCTGTTATATTTTTGTATCTCGTTTGAAAACATCCCTCGAAAACTGCACTCTATGTTTCCGTCATCTAAAAATTTTGCACTATTACAACGACAACTCCATGATTGGGTTTCTGACAACTCCACATAATTCGTTAGAGACAAATTCAACAGTTATCACCGTCATGAATCTGACATTAACGACCCCACAGACACGATATTATTTTCCAAACGAGACAAAAAAGATCTTCTCTCTTATATTAAAAAAAAAACTTCAATCTTTCATAAGAAATACACCGGTCAACAACCGTCCTCCTATCAAGTACAACTCCATGCTTGGATTTCTAACAACTCCACATAATTCGTTAGAGACGAACTCAACTATTATCACGATCATAAATCTAACATTAACCACCCCACAGACATGATATTTATTTTCCAGACAAGACAATAAAACATCCTCTCTCTCATATTAAAAGAAAGAACTTTAATCTTTTATAAGAAATACACCGATCAACTATCGTTCTCTTATCAATTGTAATTCTCTGTTTAAATTAGAAAGGACTGAATCACAAATTCTCAATGAATTTTATCTATTTGGATGGGAATAGATTTACTATTCCAATAAAATGGGTAATATGAATTGGCCTGGTATGATGTATTTATAGAAAATATTTGTATAATAATATACAAGGTAAACTACTCAAATCATCGTAATTAATTATGAGATTAGTGTCGATATGATCACCAAATTTTCAATTCTATTAATATGACCACAAAATTATCTAAGTGATTTCAGTTTAGGCACTAGGGATGGTAATTTCACCTGCATCCAACAGGCTCTGACCAGATCGGGTTGGATTTTTTTTAAAAGAATCAAGTTTGGGTCGGGTCAGACTTTGTAAGGAATGAAGTCGGGCCGGGTCAGATCGGTTTTGGGTGGATAATTTAATATTTTTAATTAAATCCTTAATTTATACTGGGTCGAGTCTGATTTATACTCTAAGAAATCATGTCAGATCGGAGTCGGACGGAAGATATATATTTTCAGGTCAGATCAGATCGGATGTAGGATGTAAAATTTTGAGTCGGGTCAAGTCGATCAAAACCCAATCCTAACCCGATTGTTGTTATCCCTAGTAGCCACATGCAGTTAAAAGAAAAATATTTATGAACTTAGAAGTTTGGTTAAATTGATCTTTAAATTTTTTTGGGTTAAATTAACTTTAAAATTTGACAAAATTGATCAAATTGACCCTTGAACTTTTTGCATTGAATTAGATCATAAACTTGATCATTTTGATCAAATTGTCCCTTAAACTTTTAATGGCAACTCATATAGTTAGGGGTCAAATTCACGTAATTATTTAAGTGGTTTCAATGTAGTCATCTATCGTTACAAAATGATGATAAAAAAATATTGTTACAAAACGGGTAAACTACATATTTAGTACTCAAATTATTTGTTTTGATCCGTTTTACTATCTAAACTTTCAATTTTTCAAAATCATACCTAATGTTTAGTTTTCATTTCATTTTAGTACATCGCCGTTAAAAACTTAACGCGTTTAGTAACTAAACTATCAATTTTGATCCGTTTCAGTTCCTGAACTTTTAATCTTTCAAAACTTAACGTTAAATTTTGAACGGGGTACTAAAAATGAAATAAAAACTAAAGTTTTTAACAGTCGAGTAATAAAATGAAACAAAAACTAAACTTTAAGTATTGTTTTGAAAAAAATTGAAAGTTTAGATACTAAAACAGACAAAAAATCAATAGTTTAGGTACTAAATGTGTAATTTATCCTTACAAAACAAACGACGTAACTGATGTGATTGATATTGATTAACGGCGAGTCAAAATTCCACATCAGTTACACTATTTGTTTTTAATGACAAATGACTCCATTATAACCACTTAAATAGTTATGTCGTTATATTGTCAAAATTAAAAGTATAATAATCATATCGACGTTAATCCTAAATGATCATTTGAATAATTTATCGTAAAAATTAAAAGTGAAATGATTAAAAATGTATTTGAAAACATTAATATTATAATTATAATTCTTTATGGGCTTGATACCAAAAGAAATGTCCAAACTATATCGTTTTTCCCAAATAATGTCTAAACTATTTTTTTGACTCATCTAAGTACCTAACGTTACAAATGTTACCTATTTATGTGTCTGGACTGCCAACGGTGTTAATTTATCCGTTAAGTGACACGTGTCATAATGCGGTAAATTTAAAATTTTTATTTAAAACTAAAACTATATTTAAAAAAACAAAACTCAAATTTTAAAATAAACCCAAAATTTTGAAAGCCTTCATTTCAACCCCTAAACCTACACCGACCTCCGCCCTTTGTAGTCGAAGAATCTCCACCCAATCTTCCCTCCCCCAGCGGCCAAAACCCCTATAAAATCGTGACCGATCGAAGATCAATCGATAATTGATCGACGTTTTGTACCCCCAAACCCTATGATAAAAACCATGATCCAATATGATTCTGACGGCCAATCGACGGCAACTACGATAACGTATGACTAGGAGGATGGCAGAGACTACGGTTGTGACGATGGTCATGGCCGGAAAAGGCGGCGACGATGTGTTAAGGTTAGGATTTGAGAATTTTAGGGATTTGGGGGCTAATTTATAATTTAAGAGGAATTAGGGCTTTTTATAAATATAATAATATTTTAAAAAAAATCACCATATTGTGACACGTTTCACTTAACGAGGGAAATTAACGTCGTGGATGGCTCAGACACCTAAATGGATAACGTTTGTAACATTAGACACATGTATAAGTCAAAAAATAGTTTAGGCATCTATTTGGGAAAAGCTGTGTAGTTTGGGCACTTAATTTGGTATTAAGCCTTCTTTATAATTTAATGACCAAAATAGAAATAAGAAAGACAAGTGGTCTAAAACGAGCAGCAAAAAATACGATGGCTTAGACTCTTCCCTGCCGTTTTTAATGTTTTGCCTGTTCTTCGTCTTCAATTGTCTGCCATGAAATTTCTCTATATCACACCATAATTTACTTCACGCATTTCTCCATCTCGTCTTCTTCACGTCAACAAATCTTCATTTTCTTTTCAGTTTCCATTCTTTTATTTTTCCTTTATTTTCTTCCTTCTCTGAGAAAACCCTCGCCGGAAAAAGTTTTCCCAGAGAAAAAAAAAACAATGCTTCTACGAAGCTCATCCACACCCATCCTCAAAACGTGCGTACCCCAGAATCCGGCGGCCGTCGATCGGATCCCTTCAAAGAACGTTTCCCTCACGCCGTCTCCGATCAACAAGATCCAACGAACGTCGTCGGACGGCAACGTGAGGCATTTCGCTATTCCCAACAGGCACAAGCTGAGCCACATGGGGTCTCCGAACACCGTCAAGGAAGAAGAAGATATCCCCTTCCAACGGGTTTCCTCGTCCCTTCATGCCGACGGCGGAGGCGGAGATTGGGGTCAAGGGAAACAGAGAATGGATGAGTATTACCAGAATATGATCAGAACTTATCCCGGAGAAGCTCTTCTTCTCACCAACTACTCTAAATTCTTGAGAGAGGTGCAAGGCGATCTTTTGAAAGCGGAGGAGTATTGCCGGAAAGCGGTGGTGGTACGGCCGGACGACGGGGAAGTTCTGTCGATGTATGGAGATTTAATCTGGGTTAACCATGGCGATAAAGCTCTTGCTCAATCTTATTTTGATCGTGCTGTTAAGGCTTCTCCAAATAACTGGTATTATTCACTTTTTTCATCCCTATTCTTTTATCGGGTTAATTCCATCATAAGTCCCCAAACTACATCATAAATTCTAATTTTGTCCCAAATAGTGTTTTAATTGAGTCCTCAATAATCATGTTCTATAATCACTTTAGACAATCTGACATGAAACATATTAAAATTTAGCGACGTGCATGGATCGAGATAAGTTAGATTTTTAGTTGTGTTACCCCATTCATTCTATCCCGATCTGATCTGATGTTTAATGATGTTCATTTATTCTAAACCTACTATAATTTTTTGGGTAAACTATCGGTTTTTGATCCGTTTTAATACCTAAACTTTTAATTTTTTTTAAAATCATACATAAACTTTAGTTTTTGTTTCATTTTAGTACATGCCGTTAAAAACTTTAGTTTGTGTTTCATTTTAGTACCCATTTAAATTTAACATTAAATTTTGATTTTTTTTTAAAAAAAATTACGTACTGAAAATAATTAAAACTGATAGTTTATGTACTAAATGAATGCATTTTTTAACGGCGATATACTAAAATGAAACAAAAATTAAAGGTTAGTTATGTTTTCGAAAAGATTGAAAGTTTAGATACCAAAAAAATAAAAAATTATAATTTAGGTACTAAATGCATAGTTTAAATATTGTTTTGAATGTAACCTTGGGATTGTTAATGGCAGCCATGTCCTTGCATCGTATGCTCGATATCTATGGACTGCTGAGAAAGATGACGATTAACAGCGAAACGAAATGGTAATGTTTGCTCAAGACCTGAAAATCATGGTCTAATTATTGTTTCAGTCACTCTATTTATTTAGCAGCCGCTTTATTTCTAAAGGTCTAATTACGGTTTTAGACCCTTTACTTAACGAAATTACTTTTTATTTTTTCATACTTTTATTTAATCTTCAGATAAAGCAATGAAAAACTCTAATTAAAGTATATTTTTTATTTTTTGATATAACTAATTTCAATATATTCTTTTTAATAGTGTTAATTAACAGTATTAAATTAATTATTAGATTAAATTAATTATTAGATTAAATTATTAAATAAAGCAATGAAAATATTCTCCCTTTTTCTTTTCCCAGTTTGAATTAGTAGGTATATCATTTTCGTGGGAAACACTTTTCTCGGTTATTTTCTTGACAACCAATCAACGAAACCAAATTTTATTGGGTAAACTATGTATTTAATATTTAAACTATTAATTTTGATATGTTTTAGTATATAAAATTTTATTTTTTTAAAATCATATCTAATGTTTAGTTTTTTTATTTTAATACCTCACCGTTAAAAACTTAAAACTTAATGGGCGATTTTCATGCACCTTTTTTATGGGTAAATTGCAATATTCGTTGCTCAACTATTTTCTCTCTTATTTTGGTCACTAAAATTTAATCTTTTTTTAATTTAATTACTTAACTTTCAAATTATTCCTAATTTAATTCTCTAACTTCCAAATTTGATTTTTTATTTTTAATTATAGATTAATAAAAAAAATTAAAAAAAATCATGTCACAAAAATTATTAATAAAATAAATTATATAATATGAGCAATTTAAAAGTTGATTAGTTAAATTAAAAAAATTTAATCTCTGGTACTTAAATATGAGTAAAAAGATAGTTGACTAATGAATAATAAATAACGAAATATTCCCATAAAAAATGCAATATCATTAAGTTTTTAACAGCCGAATACTAAAATTGATAGGTACTAAAGCCAAGTACTAAAACTGATAGGTTAGGTACTACACGTGTAATTTACCCCATTCTTGAAGACAGAATCTCTGCCGTGTGCTCCACGCTTGACGACGCATTGCACACATTCTCGAACATTTTGCTTACAATTGGCCCTTTCTTCACTGTGGTTCGTGTGTTATTCCTTGCTTGCAGTTCCTATCATATTTATGAAAAACCAACATAAAAAAAAATCAAAATTGATATAAAAAGATAGGGTTATATTCGCTTTATACCGGGTTTTTCCGATTCAATTCGGACTAGTTCTCTAATTTTCGGTTCAACTTATACAAACCGGATCAACCGGTTTCGGGTTGAACTGGCCGATCCGGCCCAATCTTTTCATCCATGTCATCATCCTTCAAAGCTTCATACCAGAAACTGAAAGTCACCTGCAGATCTAATCTCTGCAAGACAATGTAACTTCATACAATAAAAGGGAAACATTTACATAGTTCAGCAGAACCGGAACTTCTAAATGGACTTATTTCACGATATTAAGTTGTACAGCCAGTTCCGACAAACCCGATTCGATCATGGATTATCTAACAACATCAACATGACTCCAAAAAACAACATAAATTAGGTCAACTTGGTAAATAATTAGCATACGGTTGTGCAAACAGGAACACTGAATCGTAACAAGAAGTCCGGCAACCTTTTCGAGCAACACACGGGATAACAAAAGCTGCTGAATATCGGAGAAGACAACATCATAACCAGTAATGTAGAATGTTTTTAAGCCTTGATCATCAAAATAATCCAGTCTTGGACATCCTTATTCGGGCAAAACAAGGTCAAGAGCTTTGTATATGAACATCCACATTGAATCGTTGCCATGCTTAATGCTCCGATGCAATCGGTTCTTGAACTAAGTTCACTTGATTGATGTCGGGCTGATGTTCATCTGAATCAGCTGCAGACACTGCCTGCTGCTGTTGGGTTGGAGACAACTCTTCATTTGTTACATTCAGTATGGTGCTATTCTCCTCATGCGTAACCTTTTCCTGACCGGAGGTCTTCGATATCTTTTCCTCATTCGTTGCACTGGGCAAACTAGCCTTTTGAGAACGCAATTTAGGAAGTGACCTCCGCTGTGGCTTCTTCGCATTGACGGGCGAAATTACTATGGAAGAGATGGTCCGAAATGCTTTCTCATCCAGACTTAGCTGGACTGATTGGTGGCCACTATTGCTGTTACCATCGGAATCCGAAGGCGTTGAGCATTTTCTTCGACCAAGCTTAGGAGATTTAGCTCTTGTTGGTGGTATCTGAATCCGGGAATTTAAAATATCAACTTTTCCGAAATTTGAGAAATCAAATGCTACTATACAAAGAAAATAGATAGAAAAAGAAAGCAACAAAGTATGGCTATGGTTGACAAAATGTATATTCGAAAACGGAATTCTACGTGCACGAAACATATAATGCTACATTTGTCAACACATTCAAGAAAGGAAAAATAAAATGGTTTCTGATAGTCCGATTTGAAGTTATCAATTCTAGATGTAGAACCAGAGCATATAAATGCATGAACATGGCACATCATGCGAAAACTGCGACAAGTTAAGATTATGTATAAAAATAGAGTAAAATGTTCAACCTAAGGAAAGTAAGTGGCAATTCACATGACCTAGTCTAATCTGTATCGTAGGACAAAATAAATGAGTCAGAAAGACTAGAAAATTTTTCACCACAAACCTACCGTGCATTTGCAATTTCAATTTTATGCTCTCGGGTTTGTTCCGAAAAAGTTTTTCATAACTATCACAACATAGATTTAATTGTAATGTAAACCAGTTCAAGTTGTTATAAGTTATATGTATCAGCTCCAACTAACAAAAAAGGTTGATAGAGCTAGGGCTTCCCACTGAACAATCTAAAGCATTTTGTGGAAAAGAAAATGGCTCTTGTAGGATGATGAGCAGATACATGTAAATGCCCGAACAAAAATGCATAAAATTCGAAAAAGGCAGCAAAACAAATTATAAGAAAACCTTTAGAAAAAGGAAAATAAAACAAAATGAATAAGTGTGTCATTGTAATTAAAATTGAAGTGAATATTGCCTTCGGAATTTTTATATTCAACGGTTTTATATACATCAGAACAATAAACTAACCTTCTTTAGTTCCACTTTAGGAGGTGGAGGCTCCTGATAGAAGCTTGGCATTGGAGTTGCTTTAAAGCTCAAACTCTTCCTAAACATCTTAATTTCAGCTTCTTGAGTTTCCTGGCAGAAAATCGGAATATCATTATGATAAGAAAGAAGCCGTTCAGGACGATAAGCAATTGGATTTACAAAATAACGCCTTGGACTTGGCCTGCAGGTTGCTCTTTTCTTCTTCCCTTGCCTGAATCTTTTCCTCAAGTTTGGTGTAAAACTATACAACATAATGGTGAGGACTTAAGAATCAAAATAAAATTGCTGCAACGACCGACAACATAAAACGTCATAAATATAATATAAAGCACGAACCTCTTTCCTTTTATCAGCTCGTTCATTGCACTTGAAACTGAAACCATATTTTGGAAGAGTACCAACCTTACAGTGTTTGGCATCAGCTTCCGCGGAGCTTCAATGAAGAAACAAGGATAAACATAAATGTCGCTTAAAAATAGAAAGAACAAGGGAGCTCAAATTGCCCCCTTTTCAACCCACAGTACCAGACAGAAAGTAATGACAAAAAGTTCAAATTGAAAAGGATACCACGACTCTATTACTCCTTCAACTATACTAAGTGGCCCTTTCTTCAGAGGCTTTAGTCTTGGTTTCTCACTGTAATACAAAAGAAAACAGTTTGAGATTAGGCAGGAGAGAATATCTGTCATCATCTATCACACAAAGTTTAATTTCAGGAGAAAATAAATAGATGACTGGCAGCCACTAAGCACTACCCCTTGGTCAGAGGAAAACCAAATGGTGAAGGATGCATTAAAAAAGAAAAGGAAAAGAAACTCAAACATAAGCACACGTAGTTCGTACATGGGGCCTTTGGAGAAGGCTGCATCAGTTCTTTCAGAATGCTGTCAGAAGCAGATAGAGAGAAAAGTAAATTGTCAGACAGGCACGAACTGTATTTTTAAAAAAATATCAATGGAAACTGCAAATAGAAAGAAACCAGTAACACCCCCAACTCTAACCTTGGCTGCATTGGCTTGTCTTTCATTACAAGATCGATTTTTCAGAGGCTGTTTCGGATGTGAATTTGTAGCAACAAATCCACCATTTGAAGTTGTCAACCTTGCCTCTACACTATTTCCGTCTTTACTTTTCTTCATTGAAGCTGAAGAAGCAATCTTGGGGCCAGAAGGCTTCTCTTTCTTGGTTTTGCATTGCTTCACATCCGCATTATCTTTTCCTTCCCCTTCCTATGAAGACAAGCACAAGGATGAATCTCAAATCAGACTAATGGTAAATAGTAATTCATTAAAGCAATCAGATAAAATGTTAAGACCTTCTACCTTAGAATCAAGCAATCCATTGTTTCCAATCAAGTCATTCAACCCTTCTGTAGCTTCTCCAGTTGCTCCATTGTCATCCCTTCCATTCTGCAAACACCTCTCAGCATTTTCCTCAACATTTGCATTAGCATCATTCAAAACACCACTATCGTCTCCAATGGCCACTCTAAGTTGCGGATAAACATCGTTTCGGCAGGCAACCTCAAGCCCACCGGCGGACAAGAGATCATCTGAATCCATCACACGCTGCAATAGGAATAAAAACAAACAACAGTGTGAGCCTAACTACAAAACAATGGAAAATGGAATTAATATACAACATTTCAAACTAATTTAAAATTTTAATCGTTTATTTATATCAACGTCCATCTCTTACAACTTCAAAACAACAAATAATATCATATCTATCGCTTTTATAATATTTTTAGCATCTATATATAAATTTGAGGGGGAAATGATCAAAAGAAACACTAAATTATAGCTTATATTTGCAGGTAAACAGTAAATAAATATGAATTCAAAATATAACGAGATGCTTTATTTTTTTTTAAACTGAATTAAATCAGTGAAAAACGGAGTAAAAACAAATTCCTAAAGTATAGTAGAGATTTTACTCCAAATAGTAGAGAGATCTTCAACGCCACCAAACGACTAACACATTTCACTTCACACTGATCTACTCTACCAAAAAATCAAACAGGAAAATCCATCGGTTTTCTCAAGAACCAAACAAACAAAAACCAGAAGAAATTATTGCTTATTTCTCATTCTTTCTTACCTCGTAAAGCGTGCGTGAAATCAAATCTCCATAAATCCAAGACGAAACTCAATGAAAGAGATTAGTGAAGAAAATCGAGAGGATCTGAGGAGGGAAAAGAAGACAGTGAGATAAACAGCGAATATTAGAGGGTTTAGGGCCCAATACAGGAAGAATCTTCAAAGTGATTTCAAATAGAATGAAATTATTTGGAATTTGAAACTTTCTTCTTTTTGTTTTGGATTTGAAAGGTCTTTTGCACCAGAGGCTTTCAAATCCACAACTCCCATTCAAACGAAAACGACTGATTATTTAATAGAGAAAATAACTTTATTTACCAAAAATCTCATATAATATACGATTTTAACTAATTTTTTTTGGATTTACCAAAATGACCAACAAAATCGTAATGCGATCGTTAATTTGCAACGCGATCTCCATTATCGCAAATCAGTTTTCAGATTCGCAACGCGATTATGACTATCGCAATGCGATTTTCCAATTTCGCGTTGCGATTTTCCCAATTCGCAATGCGAATAAGTAAATCGCAATGCGAATTTGAAAAATCGTAATGTAATTTTCCTAATTCGCATTGCGATTTACGTATTCGCGTTGCGATTTTTATAATTCGCAATGCGAATACGTAAATCGCAATGTGAATCTTACTATCGCAATACGATTTACATAGCGCCATTCGTATTAACGCGTATTTTTTTTCAAATTCCAAACACGAATTTTTTCTTAATAAATCGGAAACTGAACCGTCCACAGTAATCGCAACTCATAACCTCAAACCTAAAATCACAACACTCAGTCTCATCTCCATCTCTCACCCCCTACGACGAAATCCGTCCCCATCTCCGAAGATTTCCGTCCCCATCGCCGGTTAAATCCCTCACAACCATTCACAGTCAAAAATCCCTCACAATCATTTAAAAATGGAAAATCAACCTCCGAGGGTTAGTTTTGTTTTATTTTTATTTTGAAATTTTTGCATTATTTTAGGTTTTTCATATTGAGATTGATGATAAGTTTACTGGTAATTTCAATAATAGATTAACCATTTCACTTAGATTTCTTATTAAATTCATTCGATTGCTGCCAATACTGCTAAACTGTTTAGCCTGTGAAGTTAGTATTTGTCTTTGTTTTGTCTTTTGGTTGAAGTAATGCAGAAGAAGAATAGTTTCGAGAATGAAAATCGCAACGCGGAAATAATTATCGCAACGAGAAATAAAAATCGCAACGCGAAACCAAAATCGCATTGCGATTTTCATTTCGCGTTGCGATTCTCTCGTTGCGATTTTCATTTCGCGTTGCGATTTTTATTTCGCGTTGCGATAGTCATTTCGCGTTGCGATTCTCTCGTTGCGATAGTCATTTCCGCGTTGCGATTCTCATTATCTCGTTGCGATTTTCATTTCAACCAAAAGACAAAACAGTGTTGCAAATTTTAGTTTCAAGAATAAACTACTATTTATGTTTATTGTTTTTGGTATATCTTGACAGTGTAGTTTTTGGTATATCTAACTTGGTATGTTTATTGTTTTTGTAGAAATTTTTTTCGGCTTCATTGACATTAAGGAATAAAGTTAGCCTAGTCATTACAATTGCTTCGAAGCTTTCACCTGCACAAAGAAAATTGTTTGAGGAAACCTGCTTCGGGCCATGGCTGAGAGTACATCATCCGGGTGGAGATGCTAATTTGACCCATTTGTGGCTTCAGACCATGACTAGCGATCTACCTGACAGTATACAACGTGGTGAGGAAGAGATATGGTTTCATTTTCCACCGGCGTATACTTATTTTGGGCGGAAGGAGTTCTGCTTAATCACTGGTCTACGATTCGGACACGATGATGTAGGCCGGTACACTCCTCATATCACCCGCCCATCATGGTTATCCAGGGTTTTTCCTGATGAGTCAATAGAGAAGCCGAACTTACACGTCGATGACATGAAGAAATTGTTTAATAAGAAAGATGATTTTACTCGGATGAATGACGTCGATGTTGTCCGAGTATGCCTTCTACTACTTTTGTATGCCGACTTTTTAGGCAGAGAGACCAGACAACCTATTCCTCAGGAGGTAATATTATTGGTAGAGGACCTAAATGCATGGAATATGTTTCCGTGGGGTTCGTATATATGGAAAGCTACCTGGACTAAGTTGTCGTCTGCCTTTGATGACCGCAAAAGTTTGCGGGGCGATGGGTCGAAATACACTTTGTCAGGCTTTGTTTGGGCCTTTAAGGTAAGAATTTCTATATAATGTTTTCAAAATTATAATTAATTATTTAACAATTACTAATGTTTGTTATTATATTGTTTGTAGATTTGGATATTCGAGGTCTTTCCCGCCATGAAGATATATGCAATAAAAACTTCAAATGATATTCCCAGGGCTATTTCCTGGAAGAGGAAATGTCTGTTGGATTGGGAAGACTTAATACCATATGCGACAATAAATAATGTAAGTTAATACAAATACTATCATATATAAACAAGTTATTAATAGTAGACGTTTAACTTTGTTTGAGTTTTTATATTTTTAGGAGGCCAACATTCCATTAATGAGACTGACACCCACGGAGGCTGAGCTTGCCACTGATTGGTGGCAAGTTAGTCAGCGTTTTCTTGATGGCACGAATGATGAGCAGCCTCCACTTCCTCCACTTCGAGAGTCATCGCCTCACCCAGAGCCATCACCTGATCGACCCGACTATACACCTCTACAACGAGAGCCATCACCTATCCCGTCACATCATCGAGCCTCTTCTCCACCATCACCTCATGATAGGCGACCGGCAAAGATGCCACGACTTCTATCTCCCTGTTCTCCACCTCCACGGGATGAGTCAAGGGAGTTACGTGATGAGGTCAATGCCTTGCGTGAGGAGATCGGTACTCTACGCGATAACGATGGTGCATGGCGTGTGGAGGTGTCTACTTTACGTGGTGAGGTTGCCGCTCTACGTGAGATGGTAGTATCGTTGCAGAATGAGGTTCATACTCTACGCAACGAGGTAAGTTTAAGAATCTCCATATTTAACTTGATGATAAATTTACTCGTAATTTCACTTAAATTAACCATTTCACTTAGATTGCTTAGTAAATTTATTCGGTTGCTGCCAATACTGCTAAACTGTTTATTAACACTGTGAAGTTAGTATTTGTCTTTTTGTTTTGTCTTTTGGTTGAAGTAAATTTATTCGGTTGCTGCCAATTCTGCTAAACTGTGTATTCCTTAACACTGTGAAGTTAGTATTTGTCTTTGTTTTGTCTTTTGGTTGAAAGTTTGAAATATATTTGTCTTTGTTTTCACTGTTTAAATATCATGTCTGTTTATTTACTGATATTTTTATTTAATTATTTAGCGGACCGATAAGGTGGATGCTTTACGTCGGGTTTTTCTTGCACGACAGAGTTCACGCATCAGACGGCGTACACGTGCTATTAAGTCTCTGTATACCCCAATAGTGCGAAGACACCGCAAGAAGAAGCCCGACTCGCCTGTCATCCCTCAAGAGTCCACTCCTATCGTTGAAGAGGCCCCTATCATTCCTCGAGAGTCCCCTCCCACCGTTCAAGAGGCCACTGTCATCGTTAAAGAGGTCCCTCCCACCATTCAAGAGCCCGATTCACATGGCGTCATATGTAGGATTCTTGAGAAACCCTCTGACGTACCGGACATGATGGATTCAAGTTGGCTCTCGTATGAGTTACCGGCCAGTACCATACCAGTATCTGAAGTGGAGAGGAAACAACTACCGGACACAATTCTGGATAACACCCTTTGGGCTAAGACCGCAGTTGATTTTTATCTACATGAGCGAAGCCAGGGGTGTTTCACTGACATATGCAAGCTCAACAATGATATCATATATAAGACAAATATAATACTTACCTCCCCATCGAAATAGCCACTGTCTTCAACCCCTAATAGCTCACCCCATCAAGACCGATCAAGCAACAAAAACATTTCATCGTTGAGTTTGCTTATGTCAGTGCAACACCCTTGGCTCCGCTCATGTAGATAAAAATCAACTGCGGTCTTAGCCCAAAGGGTATTATCCACAATTGTTTCCGGTAGTTGTCTCCTCTCCACTTCAGATACCGGAAGGGTACTAGCCGGTAACTCATACGAGAGCCATCTCTCATCCATCATGTCCGGAACCGGTGTGGGTTTCTCAATACTTCGATATATTACCCCATGTGAATCGAGCTCTGGAATGGTGGGAGGGACCTCTTCAACGATGACAGTGGCCTCTTGAACGGTGGGGGGGACTCTTGAGGGAGGATAGGGGCCTCTTGAACGATTGGAGGGGACTCTTGAGGGATGACAGGTGAGTCGGGCTTCTTCTTGCGGAGTCTTCGCACCATTGGGGTGAACGGAGACGTAATAGCACGTTCACGCCGTCTGATGCGTGAACTCCGTCGTGCAAGGAAAACCCGACGTAAAGCATCCACCTTATCGGGCCGCTAAAAAAAATTAATACATAAATCAGTAAATAAACAGACATGATATTAAACAAATCGCATTGCGATTTTCATTTCGCGTTGCGATTTTGTCGTTGCGATTTTCATTTCGCATTGCGATTTTTTCGTTACGATTTTCATTTCACATTGCGATAGCCATTTCCGCGTTGCGATAGTCATTTTCGTGTTGCGAAAGTAAACTATTCTTCTTCTGCAAATTGAAACTTGAATGGATTGCATTACTTCAACCAAAAGACAAAAACAAAACCAAAAATAAATACTAACAAAAACAGTTTAGCAGTATTGGCAGCAACCGAATGAATTACGAGTATGAAAAATCTTAAACTTACCTCGTTGCGTAGAGTATGAACCTCATTCTGCAACGATGCTACCATCTCACGTAGAGCGGCTACCTCACCGCGTAATGTAGACACCTCAACACGCCATGTACCATCGTCTTTGCGTAAAGTACCGACCTCCTCACGCAAGGCATTGACCTCATCACGTAACTCCCCTAACTCATCCCGTTGAGGTGGAGGTAGAGAACAGGGAGATAAACGTCGTGGCATCTTTGCCGGTCGCCTATCTTGCGGTGATGGTGGAGAAGAGGCTCGATGATGTGACAGAATAGGTGATGGCTGTCGTTGTGGAGGTGTATAGTCGGGTCGATCAGATGATGGCTCTGGGTGAGGTGATAGCTCTGGGCGAGGTGATGGCTCCCGAAGTGGAGGCTGCTCATCAACCGTTCCATCAAAAAAACGCTTACTAGCTTGCCACCAATCAGTGGCAAGCTCAGCTTCCGTGGGTGTCAGCCTCTGTA